TCTAGTTTTACCTTGTTGATTTTTCTACTGCAAATTTACATTTTTGTGAACCTTATGACTGGATATGCCATATGTTAACAGTAACAAAATGCCACTAATTTGGAACTTAATTTCCAATATAACTAATACAAAAAGTGCCATATATAATATACTAATGCATTTTAGTGGCACCTGCTTCAAGGTAAATATGCTTCTTTTCAGTGTGTACATCAGAGCAAATCATTCCTGAGTTGGAATACTGTGAAGTCAAGTTCGTGGATGCTAACTTTTTTTCATAGGCTGAGAAAGTTCCACAATTGATGAGAGGTCGGGTGAAATCAACCCATCGTGCATGGATTTTGACTCTGCTCATTTTTAGCACTCTTGCAATTTGTAATTAGTTTAAGTGGCATTAAAGGAGATTGTGCTTCAAGAGTGGCAAAGTATTGATTATATTTCAGTTGTTTATAACATACTATTTTTCAAGCCACTAATGTAACTGTGGGCCAGAACTGTTGAATATATGAATGAAAATCTGCCATATGTGATCATATGAAATATTGTGCACAACTGTAGCTTAAGCAGTGATTTATTCATGCTTCATAAGCATTCAAACTTTACTTTTTGTATGTTTGTGCATGAAACCATTTGAATTTGTTTCCTCATTGTGGCAGAAGTCACAAAGGGAAATTTGACATCTAATGTCACCAAGTTCAACAGGATTCTGTCACTTTGAAGCAATAACTGGCCATGGATCTTTAATCAAGATGTTTATTAAATGGATGCTAAGTTGTCACCTTCTTGAGTTGTGAATTTACATCTCGAACTGCAAGCAAGAAAAATCTTGTAATGAGAAATATGATTTACAGAGACAACACTAAAGAAATAATAATAGACATTTATAAAAGTTCAAAGTAAGAAAGAACTACCACTCTTTAAAAATATTCCATTTGACTGTTATGATCCATTTTGTATCATCTCCTAGAGTGGAAGAGGTGAAGAAGCTGTAGTTCACATAAAGAAGTAGCTTATTAATTTCATTTTTAAACCTGTAAGTAATTTTAATTCTGTTCAGCATCTATCCTGGTTCAGAGCAGAAGTGAGTATAATTGTCAGATTCATGTTTTGATCAAATCTGCACTGAGTTGTTATTTTATAGGCAAAGGAAATTAAACTTACAAAAACTTGGTTGCAAATGAGGAATTATCTGAACCTTTTCCATTCAAAATATTTTGAAAATTACCCACTTGGGTCACGTATTTTCTGATTCAAGATCTGCTCCATAACCAAGTAAATTCAGCATTTATTCTTTTTTCTCATTCATGAGATGTGGGCAAGAGCTGTTTGGCCAGCATTTTTTTGCCAATCCCTAGTTACCCTTAAGGACGTGGTAGTGAGCTGCCGCCTTAAATTGCTAAAGGCTATTTGGTGTATGTACTTCATGTACATACTGAAAGCATGGATTTCTAGGACTTTGCTCCTTTAGTGAGGTTGTATCAAAATACTACTGAGTCAGGATGATGAGCAGCTTGGACACTAACTTCTAGTTGCTTGGATCGTTATACCATGGAAACTGAAATTTTTTTCAAGTCTAATGACTCTGAAGTAAAAAGGGTTATATCTGGGTTGCTTTTATGGAAATTAGCTTTTTTTCTTGTCTGCTAGAATTGCTCTTGCATTTTTGACCATTGTTCTTTTCTGTTTGCTTGCTGATGTTGCCTCACTTGTTATCATAATCTTCACCTATCACTTGTTTTGCTAATGCACTCTGCAATTTTAATTTGGCACATTTACTAATTTTGCTTTTTTTATATAATTGCTGTATCTGCTTGCATTAGCATGATTTTCCCCTCACTTTTTTTTTGTTTTCTTTTATTTTTTTTTCTCCTTGTTTTTCCTCCTTTAACATTGGCAGTTGGCAGATCGCAATGGAGCTTGGGAACCTCATTCCAGCTGTCAGCCCAGTGCACAACATTTGGGAACACATCTGACATCAGACAGGCTCGGAGGTTCCATACAGGTATTTTCTGCATTGGTTGCACATTGTAATTGACATTTGCTGTGTTGCTTGCAAAACTGATGTTCAGTGCTTGCAAACTAATTTACTTACTACCATACATAATGTTTGAGTTCTACACTCAAGTCCGCATTGTAACTGGATTTCAAGCGATGCTCACATTGCAATTTCTTTATGATAGACAGTTTAACTGAATGTGATTAGTATTTGATGATTACACAGCTATGCAATACCAGAGTTGGTGCTAAGTTATTTCTGGTACACAGACTTCTAAAACATTCATGAAATGGGGGAAAAACAAATATTCCATACTTCAGAATATATTCCGATTTTGGATATAAGACAAATGATTAATGATCCAGCAATCTGTGTAACTAGCTGACATCTATAATTGTAATAGGTTGAATGAGCAAACATTATGAGACATATCAAATGATATAGACTAAAAAGGTAGTCAGACCAAAGCTGGGAGTACAATGTCACCACATTGTAGACAGGGTATGACTGTATGAGAGGAAGGATGTGATTGCACAAGAGAGGGTGCCGAGGGGATTCACCAGAATGTCACCTGGGCTGGATCATTTCAGCTATGAAGATAAACGAGATCAGTTGGGAGGAGGAGACCCTCATATCGTTTAAGTATTTAATAAACTCTTGAAATGCCATAGCATACAAAATTGGAAAATCAGATCAGGGCAAGATAGGTGCTAATAACTGGTCAGAGATTTCCATGCTGTAGGATTTTGGTTTTGTTCAGTAACTTGTATTTCATTTAAGATCACAGCTCGTTCTTTTGAAATCTAAAGGGAATAGGCTAAATCAGTTCAAAAGTTCTTAAGGTAATCTTTCATCCCAGGAATGAGTCAAGTGAAATTTCTTTCATTTGCTTCGAAAGCACTTGTTTTTTTTTCAAATAAGGAGACCACACCTGTGCACAGTACTGCAGATATGGTGTCACCGACATCCTGTATAGCTGAAGTAAAACTTCCCCACATCTATATTAAATTGCTCTGCAGCCACTTTTTTCTTAAGATTCTGGGATGCAGGTCTTCTGAAACTGGGAACTTAGCGACCATTGGGTATTAGTTTTCCCAGCACCATTTCTCTGGTGGTGATCATTTCTTAAATTCTCCCCTTGCATTCACCTTTCAGTTTTCAAGTAGGTTTGGAATGTTTGACTTCTGCAATGATGACACACCACATCTGTTGAGGTATCCAGCCATTTTGGGAGTTAGTTCTGGAAAAGATCTGTAATCATGTTTTCTACTTAGTGCACCATCTTTGGACAAATGTGATACAGTCTGCTATGTTGTCAATGCTGTTGAGCATAATGCAGTGTGAAATCCTAGCATATATCCATGGTCTTTGTAGCTATAGCTAGGGAAACGGGCTGACAAGTTGGAATGTTTTCATCAGATCCTTCAGGGTCATTGCCTTCCTGTATTGAAGAATGAACGACATATGTATGCCTCATTTGACAATTCTGTTGTGCAGCATAGTGTTGTCCACCTTGGCATAAGTTTCCATAGTTGTCTCTGTTGAATTTCCATGCTGGCCTGCTATGAGAGAGCAAAACGAACCTTGTCATCATATTGGTTAACCTCAGTCTGCTGCTGCTCTTTGTGTCTTGTGCAATCATGTAGCCTGAATGAACTCAGCATGGTGGAAGCAATCGACGGTTGAGGCTTTTGCCACAATCAACCATGCTTCCTCCTTCATGGACATGGCCTCTGAAACAGATTGCTTGTACTCCTACTTCTTATCAATGATGTTGAAAGCTTGAACGATTGGCTGTCATCAGTTGAGTTTGTTTCGTAATCAAGTCCAATCCATTGCCTGAAACTTGGCCACGGTATTGTGAAGCAAAAGCATCAGTTTGACACTCAAGGCCAGCCATTTCAAGATGTGTAAGGCAGTTATCCGTAATGACTTTCCTCTCTTCCATTGAGGCATGTTGCCCACTTTCCTGATCCATGCCTTAAACATCCAGGCCACCTTGGAGCCTCATTGCATGAGTACTGTCTTGACATTGACTAAGCACCATGGCTTCTTGGACTCATGTGCCATCCATGTTGATGCACATAATAGTTAAACTAGTTAAAGGGGAGAAGGGCTGAGGTAAAGTTATTCAAGTTTCCGAACCAAGGGAGGCACGGTGGCTCAGTGGTTAGCACTGCTGCCAGGGGCCCAGGTTCGATTTCAGCCCTGGGCAACTGTCTTTGTGTAATTTGCACGTTCTCCTCGTATCTGTGTGGATTTCTTCTCACAGTCCAAAGATGTGCAGGTTAAGTGGATTAGCATGCTAAATTAGTGTTCATGGATGTGTAGACTAGGTGCATTAGCAGTGGAAACTAAAGGGTTAGGGTAGGGGAGTGGGTGTTGGTGGGATGCTCTTCAGAGGGTCAGTGTGGACTTGATAGGCCAAATGGCATGCTTCCACACTGTAGGGATTCTGTGGTTCTAAGTAATGGGACAGAGTATGGAAAGGACCAGGAATTTAACCTCAACAACAGCATAGTGGAAACTGAGAAGGAGGCTGTCAATGCAGGACTGTGTGTTATGCTTAAATGCTGCAGTGTATGAAACAATGTAAATGAGCTTGTGACATAGATTGAAGTTGGCGGGTACAATGTTGTAGGCATGACAAAGATGTGGCTGTAAGGGGATCTAGGCTGGGAACTAAATTTCCAAGGATACGCATCCTATCGAAAGGACAAGCAAATGGGCAGTGGGGTAGGGTTGCCTTGTTAATAAGAAATGAAATTAAATCAATAACAGGAAGCAATTATATGGTTGGAACGCATAGAATCTGTGTGGATAGAGTTGAGGAACTGGAAAGGAAAAGAGACCCTGATTAGAGTTATCCACAGACCCCCTAGCAGTAATCAGGATGAGGAGTAGAAAATAAATTCAGAATTAGAAAAGGCATGCAAGAAAGGCACAATTATGATAATCATGGGGTAATCAGGCTGGTAGCAGATCCCAAGGAAAGGAATTCATGGAATGTCTGGGATGGTTTTTGGGGGCATCTTGTGATAGAGCCCACTAAGGCAGTCTGGCTGAGGTTTTCCAGCAATTTCTGATTCTGTTTCTGATTTCCAATATCCACAGTTCTGTTGGGTTTTTTTGTTTGTAAGGAAGCAGACTTGATTAGGGAGCTGAAGGTGACCATAGTATGATAGAATTCATCCTGCAGTTTGAGAGGGAGAAGCTGGAATCAGATTTAACAGTATTACAATAGTATTAAGCTAACTATAAAGACATGAAGAAGGAGCTGTCCAAAGTTGATTGGTGCCACAGATACTTTGAGAACGGGGGGCGCAGGGATGAATGTAGTGGCCATAGTGAACGAGAAAGTGCTGGGAAGCCGAAGGGTCTAAAGGTGGATAAATCACCTGACCAGAATTGACTACACTCCAGGGTTCTGAAAGAGATTGCCTTCACATTCTCCTCAGCTTTGGTGATCATTCAGGAATCACTGGGATGCTCCCTGACTCCAGAAGTCTGGAAAATGGCTAAGGTAACATCACTATTTTAAGAAGGGAGGGAGGCAGAAGACAGGAAATTACAGGCCAGTTAGCTAGTTAGCATCTAGCTTTGGTGAGATTTTAGAATTCATTATTAAGGATGAGACTGCAGAGTACTTGGAAGTGCATGGTGAATGGTGCTCAGTCAGCACAGCCTTGTCAAGGAGAGGACATGCCTGACAAATATTAGAATTCGTTGAGGAGGTAATGAGCAAGTTCAACAAAAGGAGAACCAGTGGACATGATCTGTTTGGATTTCCAGAAAACCTTCAAGGTGCTGCACAGGAAACTGTTAAGTAAGAGCCCATGATGTTAGTAGCAAAGGACTGGCATGGATTGAGGATTGGCTGTCTGGGAGAAGGCAGAGAGTAAGAATAAAGGCATCTTTTTGAGGATAGCAGTCAGTGACTAGAAGTTCCACAGGAAAGTGTTTTGGGACACAACGGTTCATGTTATACATTGACAATTTGGACAGTGAAACTGAGGTATTGTTGCTAAGGTAGGTGGAGGGACACATAGTATTGAGGAAGTGGGAGACTGCAGAAATACTTGGACAGGCTGGAAAGTGAGTAAAGAAGTGGCAGATGGAATGCAATGTTGGCGAGGTTATGCACTTGATCAGGAAGAGTAGAGGCCTAGACTGTTTTATAAATGGGGAAGAGCTTTGGAAATCTGAAGTCCTAGTTCAGGATTCTCAGGATTAACGAGCAGGTTCAGTTGGCGATTAGGAGGGCAAATACAGTGTTAACATTGATTGCAAAAGGGCTAGAATACAAAAGCAGGCTGTATAAAATCTCTGGTCAAATCACATTTGGAATGTTGTGAGCAGTTTGGGCCTCCTAAGTAAGGATGTACTGGTTTTGGAGAGTGTCCAGAAGAGGTTGACAAGAGTGATCCAGGGCTGTCATGTGAGAAGCGGTTGAGGACTCTGGGTCTGTACTCAATGGAGTTTAGAAGGATGATGGGAGATCTCATTGAAACTTGTACAATACTGAGAAGCCTGGGTAGATGGACATGGAGAAGATTATTTCCACCAGTAGGAGAGACCAGAACCTGAGGGCACAGCCTCAGAGTAAAGGGGTGACCCTTTAGAACTGAGATGAGGAATTTCTTTAGCTAGAGGCTGGTGATGTGTGGAACCTGTCACCACTGAAGCCTGTGGAGGCCAAGTCATTCAGTGTCTTTAAGATAGAGTTCTTGATTAGTAAAGGGATCAAGGGTTATTGGGAAAGGTAGGAGAATCAATGCAGCAGATTCAATGGGCCCAATGGCCTGATTCAGCTCCTATATCTTCAGGTCTTGAACAGTGATGTGCTCTTTATTTTGCTTTCCCCCCATTATGGATTCCCCCTTCTCCATTTCAGTCTTGTTGATTGATTCAAAGTGTGCTTCGGAGATTTGAGTGCATAATCTAAGCTGATACAGTAATTCCACACAATACTGAGGGAATTTTTTGTTTAGACGGGCCAATTTTTGATTTAAGCCGAATCTGATTTGCCCCTGGGTGGATGAAATTTGTCCCAAGGCATTATTTGAAGAAGAATGCCAGAATTCATCAGGTGTTCTGGCCAACACTTATTCCACATTTCAGCGTCACTAAAACAGCTTAATTCAGGGTTTCCTAAAGTAAAAGTTGAAAGCTGAAATTTTGGTGCTGAGGTCTGAGATAGTAATGGCTGACTTGGAGCTCTGACCTTGTACTAATAAGTGTATGAGCCTTAAACACACTCTCTTATTTTTCAAACTGTGGATATAACCTAAATGGTTCATCCTTGTGGCGTGACTTGTGTATTGAAAACAGCAGGCTTTAAAAGAACAATTAAATCTCCTCCGAACCTTCTCTGTTCCAAACACCCTCTTTTGTGTACCCCACCCCCGGCCCCCCCCCAACGCCACAATTCCTTGCAGTTCTCATTGGGAGGTCAATTTTCCAGCCTTGGAATGGGCTCTTAGTGGAAAAAGGTTTTGGAGTCTGTAGATTCATTCATAGTTTATCTCCGTTGCTTTTTGTGTGAATTTGTGGTGTACAAAATGGTGTGTTTTGTTATAGTATAGAATGGTTACATTTCAGAAGTAATGAACTGGCTTTGAAGTGCATTACGACATTTTTTATGGTTATCTGAGGCACCATATGAACACACATTGTTCTTTGCAGGACTTACGGGGAAAGCAGAGGAATGAGACTACTTGAATAATTCTTTCAAAAAGAAAGCCCATGCACAATGATCCAACTTGCTTCTGTGTTGCGGATATTATCCTTCTGTTTGTTGAGTAAGCCAGGAATGATTTGTTACATCTTTCTCTTGCAGCAGTCTGTATTTGAAGAAAGCCTATATTTAACCACCGAACGACAATGCAGGTTACATTATCATAATGCACTGGGGGAAAACCAGCACCAAGGCAATTTTTTGCTGCATTAATTTCATACTCCCCTCTTTTTAATTTTAAAATTAATGAAAATCATCTTCAACTGGAAATCATTTTGAGGAAGACTGCAATAGCTGACTAAAGTTGGGCTTCCACTTACTATTCCCCAGACTCGGTCAGCAAACTTCATATCTGTTGAGAATTTGTTGTTTACACAAGTGCTTAAGTGTTTCTTTGCAAGCTTCTTTTTTTTATTGTTTAATCTGATAAAGTAAATGAATAATTCCCTTCTATTTTATCAGGCAGCACAAGTACTTCTGCTCACATTTCTCTGTTGCATTCAAAGTAGCCCAAATTTCATGACTGAATTCCTCTGGCACCATAAAGATATCCTACCTCACATAGAGAAGAAATTCTTACGTTAAAGTTGGCATGAGAAACCACTTGGATACTTGAGTTCATGAGTGTGAATGGTTAAAATAGCTGCAGTCAGATGCTTGTTTCTTAATTGTTTTAATTCTTTTCCATTTCAGTTAGTGCTTTGTTAGCACAAAACACCATTATGTTTGAGTTTCAAATTAACAATTGAGAAATTTGTGTAAACATTTCTGCATGCAAATGTAAATCTCATCAGTGCTGCATGTAGAGATGTAACTACCTGAGCTAAACAAAGAGTACATGAGTGTAGGTTGGAAAAAGTCAACTAAGCTGAAGTTTTACCTAGGTACCGCAGTACAGGTTGCCAGTGCTGTCAAAGTTCCTTCTAACTTAAAATCTGCCTATGTTAGGAAATTTAATTGTCGAATTATTTGGAGATGATGGAAAGAGTCTAGTGGTTCGTCTAATATCTCTCCTTCCTGGACCCCTCTGTCTCCATCTCCGGCAACCACCTAGAAACCAATACCCATTTCAAGCCCACCGACTCCCACAGCTACCTAGAATACACCTCCTCCCACCCACCTTCCTCCAAAAATGCCATCCCCTATCCCCAATTCCTTCACCTCCGCCGCATCTGCTCCCAGGATGAGGCATTCCACTCCCGTACATCTCAGATGTCCTCGTTTTTCAAGGACCGCAACTTCCCCCACTCAGTGGTCGAGAACGCCCTCGACCATGTCTCCCGCATTTCCAGCAACTCATCCCTCACACCCCCTCCCCACAATAACAACCAAAACAAAATCCCCCTCATCCTCACGTACCACCCCACCAACCTCCAGATCCAACGCATCATCCTCCGACACTTCCGCCATCTGCAATCCGACCCCACCACCAAAGACATTTTTCCCTTCCCACCCTTATCTGCTTTCCGGAGGGACCACTCTCTCCGTGACTCCCTTGTCCACTGCACACTCCCCTGCAGCCCCACCTCACCCGGCACTTTTCCCTGCAACCGCAGGAAGTGCTACACCTGCCCCTACACCTGCCCCTACACCTCCCCTCACCCCCATCCCAGGCCCCAAGAAGACTTTCCACATCAAGCAGATGTTCACCTGCACATCTGCTAATGTGGTATACTGCATCCACTGTTCCTGTTGTGGCCTCCTCTACATCGGGGAAACCAAGCGGAGGCTTGGGGACCGCTTTGCAGAACACCTACGCTCGGTTCGCACTAAACAACTGCACCTCCCAGTCGCGAACCATTTCAACTCCCCCTCCCATTCCTCAGAGGACGTGTCCATCCTGGGCCTCCTGCAGTGCCACAACGATGCCACCGGAAGGTTGCAGGAACAGCACCTCATATTCCACTTGGGAACCCTGCAGCCCAATGGTATCAATGTGGATTTCACAAGCTTCAAAATCTCCCGTCCCCCTACCGCATCCCAAAACCAGCCCAGCTGGTCCTGCCTCCCTAACCTGTCCTTCCTCCCACCTATCCCCTCCTCCCACCTCAAGCCGCACCTCCATCTCCTACCTACTAACCTCATCCCGCCCCCTTGACCTGTCCGTCCTCCCTGGACTGACCTATCTCCTCCCTACCTCCCCACCTACACTCACCTTTACTGGCTCCATCCCCGCCTCTTTGTCCTGTCTGTCTCCTCTCCACCTATCTTCTCTTCTATCCATCTTCTATCCGCCTCCCCCTCTCTCCCTATTTATTTCAGAACCCCCTTCCCCTCCACCTTTTGTGAAGAAGAGTCTAGGCCCGAAACGTCAGCCTTCCTGTTCCTCTGATGCTGCTTGGCCTGCTGTGTTCATCCAGCTCTACACCTTGTTATCTCTAGTGGTTGGTCAACCCTTCTGGCTTCCATCAAATGAACCGGACAACAAAGTTAATCATCAGTAATGCTCTTGAATCTGCCTGATTTTTATGAAATGCCAATTGTACCACAAATACCATTATTCTAATCTGTTATTGCAAATTGTAATTTTTTTTCCTTCTTACTCCAGTATGCTGCTTGGATTTTAATCTTTGCTATAAGAGTTCAGGTGCTTGGAAATGAGCAATAGGCTAAGCTAATTCTTTCTTGGCCTCTCCCTATCCTTCAGTGGTATTTCCTAGGCAAGGAATGGTCACACTCTGCCAATTTGATTATGTAATCAGTTGCTAAAAGGTGTGGGAGTATTGTGAAAGAATTTCACGCAGCAAATCTTACCAGTAAATAAAATTAATCATTGACAAAGCAGCTTCTTGGTGGGCGTATATTCAGTTCATTTGCTTTCTGGTAATGCTGGTTGAAAAGAGGTTGGCGGTTAGGTAATTACAGGAATTATCTGCTTTTCTTCAGATAGAGCAATACTTTATCTAATAAGAGTAAACCTACCAGTAATGCAGTACTCCCTTCATTTCTGCACTAGAATCTAAGGTTATCACTTTTTGAAACTCATGACGTTTTGCTTATTCTGCTGAAACCTGAAATTGAACAGGGACCTTTTTTTAGTTCTTCAAACTCTCTCCATATTCTTGACATTATGACCATTTCGGGGCTGATCTAAGGTGACCAACTCAAATCTGTTTGTCATGCGGAGAACTCCCTCCATCGCTGAGAGATTTTCCAATTTCCGCTAAGTGAAGCCTACAGCAACAGAGTTGAGATCAGGAATTCAATAGTTCATGTCTACAATTTTTAACGGATGTTACAATATATATTAGAACTTTAATGCACAGTCTAACATATCACTAGGACTTTCTCATTCTAACGTGAAGCATGGGACTATTCATAAAAAGTTTTCTTTTCATGTAGAACTACCGTAAATAACAGATTGTATCATAGTTAACAGATATCTATTCAAGATGAATATGAAGTTGCCTGATAGTTGACTAATGTTGAATATTTCTGCAGCATTTTCATTTCCATTTTATTTCTTGATTATTTTATTAATAGGTACTTTGATTGGAACTGTATAGTTTTAATTTTTTATTCGTTCTACCTCTTGGATGGAAATAAGAGTGTGACTTTGGTGATTTAGTTTCATTGTCTGGAAGCTTTTTCCTTGATTCTTTAAAAGATCAGTATATCATGCGTGACAAATAAGTAGCAGAAAATTACACATTTCATCAAATTATTTTGTTCTTCTTTAAGGTGGTGAGCTCAACAAATGGTGAACTTAACACAGATGACCCCACGGCAGGACACTCCAATGCACCCATTACAGCCCCAGCAGAAATTGAAGTGGCAGATGATACCAAGTATGACTTTTTCCTAATCTCCATTATGAATTACTTTTATATAAGAATCTTTTAATAATTGTGTATATTTTAAGGGGACAGTAAGTGATACCTCTAGCTTATGTCATAAGATATGTTGTATGTATCCAAGCCAAACCACGTGATTCTGAAGCTTGATGTTCCAAAAACTTAGCAACTTGATCACATTTCATGCTAAAAATGGACTAAATCAATTTTGAAAATGCTGCAAATAAGTGTTTTGAAAGCTGCAATTCACACTAAAAGCTGACTTTGTTTATTCATTTCTATAAAGACTCTGTCAGTAGCAGTTGTTAACATTCTGTTCCTGCTGGTATACACAAGGACATAGTGATATGATGTTCTGCAAAGTAGTCCTTCAGTTCTGTGCTTTGCAAGTTAAATGATGTCAAAGGAGTAGTTTCTAAATGGGTTGTGAGTTATTAACGCATGGCATTCAGACCATTTCCCTTCTGCTGCCTTAGTTATGTTAAAGTGTTTGGTTTATCTGCGACATTTTGACTATACAAGCAAATAATTTTGACCATCACAGCACTTCACCTGCAGACATAGGGATTCAGAATGGCTCCATGTCTTGGTATTGAAGTTAATTATATTAGAAGCCAATAAATGCAGATCTGAAATAAAAAAATAAAGTGCTGGAGAAACTTAGCAGGTCTGGCAGCATCTGTAGGGAGAGACTCCAATGCAAGACCATCACTTTAAAACATTTCTCCTTTCCCATATTAACTATTTTTAAAACTGGTAAATTTACAAGAATTAGTTATATACCAAATTATTGTTCAATTGTGGCTTTTCACAGTGTGACCAAGGATCACTTTTTTTTTCCCTATAATTCTTCCCTTCCTGGTCTATGGAAATTGCTGACCTCCTTAACTATTCAGCTTTTTGATTCCATGCTCTGAAACACTGTCATTCAGAATGTAGTTGGATGTGAATTCATGGCCATATTCACCCCATGTATTAAATTTATAATTTCAGCTGTTCAGTTTAAAGACAACGTTAAGTGACAATAGGTACTTTACTGTAACAATAGGAAGAAAACTAGAGCTACATTGCAAGCTGCCATTCAGTACCTAAATAAAAGTATGAGAAGTCAGTATTTAGAATTTGGTCTAGTTTGACAAAACACATTGAAATTAGAGGGAAATGTTTGGCATGTTGGTGAAAGTATAGTGACTATACCTGTGTGAGTAGCCCAGACCGGATCCAACCATAATTGACTCCCTTACACATTCTTCAAAAATACGCAGTTTGTCATAGCTTTTCATTTTGCACTCATCAGGGCAATTCGCAAGAACCACCAAAGTAAGCAGAAAGTAACATTTGTCCCATGAGGCGAGGGCTGATTGGTTAGCATGTGGACTCTGGTAGAGGTGTGCCATGGAAAATACAAGTATGAATTCAAAATACAAATCTGTTATCGGGTATCTGTTGAATTTTCTAAACTTCTACACCTAGATATATTGTCAATTAATATGTTGGTGTGAAATAGTTTTTATTATTGATATATGTGAGTTAACTTCTGTACTGTATTTGAATCTCTGAGATGAGATTCATGGGACAAAGTTCTCCTTCAGGTTGTTATATTGATCCAATGCAAAATAAATTGCAATAGTTTTAGCTTGGTAGTTGAAAAGCGCAAGTAACATAAAACCTGTTTAAATATCAGTGCATTCTAAGCAAAAT